CAGTATGCCATTGCCAGATACCGGTACCAGATACTAGTATGCAGATTGCCGATGCGATCTCAGAAGAGGTGAGGCGTGACTTGAGTCACGAGTTCTCTGCTTCCGTCTTAGCGAAGACGGCAGGGTCTTGGCATCTTCAAGTTTCTTCCTCTGCCCTTTCGTCCTAGCTACCGTATTGAAGTAGACAGCACCATGTCGGCAAATCCTCCTCCCAATAAGCGGCTCAAAGTAGCTACTGTTACTGCTCTGGGTTCTCTTTGGGAAACCACAGTATTTTCCTTTCTGGACACCAAGACGTTGGTATTCAAAGTCAGGGGAGTGAATCAAGAGTTCCGTCGAGCAGCTGGAAGCTTGGTGCAGCAACGAATTTTGGGGCATGAGTGGAGCCATACGGCAACCAACAATGACATGGATGATCATTTGCGGCATGTGACATTGTCCATTCGGAATTTGCACACCAAGAACTACAGCACCCAAGAGGATCTCGTGGGACGTGCTGTACAAACCTGCGAGAAATGTTGGGAAAGCAAGGGAATGTCAGACCCTGGTGTCTACGAGTATCTTCGTTTTATTACCGAAGAAGAAGATGACGATGAACGAGAAATTCACGATGCGGTTTCGGACGATTTGGAATTGAACAATGATCTCGTCCGAAAAGCTCTCCAGGAAAAGGGAGCACTCTACGCCAACGAGGGGTATGGCTGGGAGGTGGAGATTTCATTCACATCCAAGCCGAGTGTCTTGGAGGAACTCATACAAGGAACTCCCTTTGAGAAGAATCCATTTTCCATTGTGGAATTGGAAGAGGAAGATTTGAAGGAAAAGGAGGAAGCCATTTTTCTCGCAAGGTGCATGAAACTGTTGCTCCAAGAAGCAAAGATATCTTCTAGTACAATGGGTCTAGCCAAGCAAAAATGCCTCATCTACCATCCTGATTTTGATGAAGCCATTGCCTATTCAGGAACAGAATATTGCCTTCAATTCATGGTGACAACCGGCGATGGCGGCAAAGAGGTTCCATTGGAACTTTTCATCCGAGGAGAAATGAGATCCAGGGATTATCTAGACGGCTTTCTGTAGTCTAACAATGTTGTGAACGTGCACAATCTTCACTGCCTCTGGCCAGGTGTACCGAAAGGACAAAGACACAGGTCTCCCAAAGAGGACCAAGAGGAGGGAGAGTGATTTCTACTTGGAGCGGCTTGTTGCGAGGGGTCATCATGGTGCTGGATTCTATACGGCTGACCGACCTCAACAATGGCAAACTCCACCATCATGGTGCAGGATGTAGGAGAGGGCAGCCAGGGAAAAGGCGGGGCCGCGTCTGAGAGGTGGTAGGGCAGTGACCCAACCAACTAAACACTACACATTTGCAATCACCAATGACACCACTACTAGTAGATCTGGGAGGCAGGTGCCTGCTTAGAAGTCTGGTTCTGCCACACTAGCTAGTACTTACATGACGCACAGTTCCCAACCAAGGAGACAATTGAATGCTACACTCCGCCTGGATGGTGCAACCCCGTTCTTTGCGGCAAGAAGATCAATCCTCCAACACAATCTTTAATGAAGTAGGTGCAATGTCATAGGTTCTGTGTTTTTCTTCTTCGAACTCGACACGTGGACAGTATAGAATGTCATAGGATTGTTTGCGCTCAACCTGAACAATCTCGCTGTCATGCTCTGATTCGCTCCGGAGGCCTACAGCGCTGCTTTCATGAATTTGGGAGGTGGAAACTCCGTCATCTTTGCCTCCCAGGAGAGAGTGCGACGCAAAAATCTTTTCGAGAGGAACTCCAAAGGATTCCCAAGTTGTTCCACGACGTTCGCCTCCCGAAGTGATCTTTGTTGTTTCTTCCAATACATGGTGCATGACAAGTCCATGCCCACGTTTGTCAACCAAGATGGTGCCGCAGTCCCCAAGATGTGTCAGGCGAGTTTTCCCGTCATCATTGGTCGATGAAATCCCAACGTCACCCTCCAAATACATTTGCCCAAACGCCTGTTTCTTTGTGACTGCAATCGTTTTCACGTCCCCGATTGTTCCACGTTGTTGTTGACCACCACCAAAACCCAAGAGGGTAGTTCCAACTGCTAGGCGTGGAGTTTCCGAACAAGGCAGCAAGAAAGGCGTGTGGTCGAGACCGGACTTTTCGTGAAGGACCCACTCTCCCGCGATATCGGGCATTCGAACACTAAAGAGTCCGATCTCATCGACTTTGATACAACTGTGCCAATGCGGCGTACCCCGTGGGAGTCGTGGTGTTTGAAAGCATAGATACGATGATAGATGCCGGCAAGGTGACCCACGGTGACTCCATACCATTTGCTTCCATTCTTGAAGCAGAAAGACAGCGTTGCCGCTTGCCCGTGTTCATTCACCACCAACCTGCCACCTCGAAGCGGGGCATCTTCCAAGCCACAGTGGCCCTGGCAACCTTCTTCTGGCGTCCACGTCTTGGTAACGGCGAAAAGATCGATTTGGAAACTTCTTGCTTGCCTTTCTGTTGCGTTCTCCATCTATTAATACAGCAGATGCATCACGCTTCTTAGACTCCACAGCCACTGGGGTCTTCAAAGACTCCGCCGGAGAGGGCTCCTTTTCTGCTTGCAAGACCATGGTACCTGGTACTTGGTTTGGTATTTTGTGTTGCCTTGCTCCGACTGTGGCTTGGATAAACCCTCTTTCCTCTTTTAGCAAAACCGTCCGTGGCGATTGCGGCAACGGAGAACTTTGTCTAGTCTAGCGGCACGGTATGGTAGTAGGTTTCGCAGGGCGTGGAAGATGGAAGATCTCAGAAAACAGCTCTACAAGCTTTAAATAGAACGACTCAAGCCAAAGATATTAATCACGAGTGCTTGCTGCCACCAATTAATTTCTTGGAGCTTTTCTTGTTCTTGGCGACAGACACCTACCGCGGGATCTGCATCTCTATATCTGTCTATCTCAATAGCTTCCAACTATACAGTACTGCACATACTTGTAGTTAACCATGGCAGAAGCATCCAGTTCATCTCAACAAGCCCCAATCAATCGCAAAAGGCGCCCCAAGAACAATTGGGAGAATCGCCATGGAAAATCGCGTCGTCAAGTTCGACCTCCGAGTCAAAGTAATAATAATGCCGGCAATGGCAAGGCTGCTGTGGTTTCCAAACCGGTCTGTTCGGTGTGTCAAAAAGTCGAGTCTCCCAAGTACAAGTGTCCCAAATGTCGGAGTCCCTATTGCAGTATTCAATGCTGTCGTGATCACAAGGCCAGCGGTTGCAAACCTAATACTGCTACCAGCAATGATGTCAGTAATAATCCAACCAACGGGAATGCTACCACCACCACGGCAACAACAACAACAACGTTAGTAGCAACAACACCCACCAGCAGATATCTGGCCAAGGAAGAACTATTGACGGCACCCCCCACCAAGCGAACCAGGAATGACGACAACAGTGACGATGACGACGATTTGGAAGAGGGTTGGAAAATTACGGATGAAATGAAGCAAGCCCTACAACAAAACGCTCCGTGGCTGCGTCAAGAGCTGGCCGATGTGGGATTGCAACAAATCATTACCGGCATTGATGGGGCGTCCAATCGCATTCGAAAACGCAACGATACCCAAACGCCTCAAGAACGATTATTGACACACACCAAATTGGACAATCCACAATTCTCCAAATTTTGTGATGATTTGTTGGTAGCGAGTGGGATTTTACAACGAAATGACAATGGCATTGTACTATCCATGGAAGAAGAAGAGTCGTTGCAATCATCATCCTCATTGGGAGATGCCAACAACAATTTGCCAACGCTCAAGCCGACTGCCCAAAAAGTCCCACTGCAAAAGGATGCCGAAAAAGACGTAGCAAAAGATGATGATGAGTCCAGCAGTGATGATACTTCTTCCAGTGATTCTTCAGATGACGAAGAAGATCATTGAATGAATTAAATGGATTTAAAGAAGACGCCGTGGACAACCATTGTTTATTTGCAAGCAGGCAAGATTTGTGTTTCTGCGGCCAGTCAGTGAACATTTTTGTCTACTCGCTAGCCTATCAAGCTAGTTGTATAAGCAAACACCTTCAAGAATCGACCATCCCCTTACCCTATGTTTCCGGGTGGACAGAGTCGTTGACCCATCAACTTGCAGGTCATTCCTCCAAGGAACTGAGGTCTGTCTTGGATGACTCGACTCTTCAGGCAATCCGCATTGGACTGGTCTGATTCATACGATGTCCAGGCGAAGACATGCTGTGCTAAGCAGGCTTGTAGGTAGAGTAGTAAAGGTTTTCAGAGGAAAGACATCTTCGCTTTGGATTAGGAGAGGCATTGCAATCAACACGAAGAGTCCTTTTCCGTCTTGACCGTGGGCCTCATGATCAAGGGTCAAGAAACTGAAAAGGAAAGCAACGATCGGTGGATTTGTTGCGGTGGTTTGGTGGCATCGCCATGCACATCGTATTCCTCAGGCTTCTGTTCTTGTGCACGAGCGACCCTTTTCCCTCACAGTTTCGAAAAGGTCTCACAAAAAACATTTCCGGAGCTTACGCCAACACATCTTTTCACAACTAATCTCTTTTCAGATTCTCAATGCCCACTACAATGCAAACTACCCCGGACTCCTCAGATTCGATTGCAAGCCACGACGAGGAGGCTCCGGGCCTTCCCATTACCTCCGACCATGGCAAAGAAGATGGAGAGGCGATTGCTAAGAAGGAAGGTCGAATTGTCTTCTATCTGCGAGTGCTTGTGATCTTGGTTTTAGCTGTGGCGGCAATTTGCGTCTGTATGGGTGTGCACAAATATGTCACCGACCAACAGCAGGATGCATTCGAAACCAAGTTCAACAATGACGCCAGCAAGGTGTTGGAGGTGGTTGGTGCTACCTTCCAAGATACATTGGGTTCTACTGATGCCTTCATCACTCAGCTCGTTGCTTATGCCCGTTATTCAGGATCCAGTTGGCCCTATGTGACAATGCCAGCCTTTGCCATTCATGCCACTAAGCTTCTAAAGCTTTCAAAAGCCTTTTACTTCTCTGTTTATCCATTTGTGGAACCATGGCAGCATGATGAATGGCTCAACTATACTAATGAAACCAATGGATGGATCCATGAGAGTCTTGACATCCAGGCCAAGGATGAAGACTGGTGGGGACCCAAGGAGAAAGAGTTTAGTCATAGGCATGAAATTTTTGCAACTGGGGGCAAGGCCAGAGATGAGCCCTTTGGACACATGTAAGTTTTGCATAAGTGTGGCACTGTGCTCACTGATCAGCACGATCTAACACCCTCTGTCTCCTACTCCACCAGGAACAACTTTCTTCCTAGTTGGCAAGTTCATCCCATGGTTCCCAGTGCTGGCTATGGCTACCCTTACAACTATGACATCTGGCAGATTGATTCTCTTGCTCAAGCCATTCTCCATGCAGACAAACACAAACGTGTTGTGGTTTCCCCCCAAGTAAATGCCATATATGACCCTACAAGCGAAGAATCAATTGCTGGTGCAGAAAGTCAGTCCAATTGGGCTTCAGCATTCACACACCCCGACCTTGATAACTCTGAGCCCTTCAGCGTCATCACATTTCCCATTTACGATGACTTGTCATCCGTTCGGCTTGACCTCACCAAGAATCAGAGCTTCGTAGGTGTTGTCACTTTCTCGCTTTACTGGAGGGAAATGATACAACATGTTCTCCCTACGGGTTCTGATGGGATCATTGTGGTCTTTGAAGACCCCTGTGCCCCTTCCTTCACTTACAGGCTTGATGGACCTATGGCCACCTTCTTGGGATCTGGAGACCTACATGATCCCACATATGACTCTATGAAGCACTCTGCCAAGCTGTCTGCACTAGCTAATGTCTATCACGATCAAGAGGGGGGATCTTCCTACTCTTCCTACACAGGTATTCCTATTGCAGATGACTTTTGCCCCCGTACCATTTCCGTCTATCCTTCCTCTGCTATGGAGCATGATCATCGCACATCAGATGCCGTGCTGTTCACAGTCACAGCTGCATTGATCTTTCTCTTCACTTCCACTGTTTTCATGCTTTATGACTTTTGGGTCAACAGAAGGCAGCGGATTGTGATGCAAAGAGCTCTCGCTTCAGGAGCTATTGTCTCTTCCCTCTTCCCCAAGAAAGTCAGACAGCAGCTTTATGCTGAGGAGCAAGAAAAGAAGAAACGAGAAAAAGCCATGATGGACTTCAGTCACCTTTCCCATACTACATTGGAAAGCAACGGTTGGGAAGCGGATACACACACCAGGCCCATGGCAGACCTTTATGAGCATGCAACCATCCTCTTTGCAGACCTCTGTGGTTTCACAAAATGGTCTTCTCAAAGGACCCCTGTAGAGGTGTTTGAGCTGTTGGAAGCAATTTATGGTCAATTTGACAAGATTGCATTGCGAAGGAGGGTATTCAAGGGTAGGTTACATCCCAGTTCTAATTGCCACCTTGACGCATGCACTCATCTGACCCCAACTGCTAAACACCTGCTGTCTTGAACTCAGTGGAGACAATTGGGTAAGCGAAGGGTGTATAGCACAACAGCTCCATATGCCAATATTTGCTCTCATACTCACACTGTTTTCTTCATCATCTCTTAACAGGGATTGTTATGTAGCTTGCACTGGTGTTCCCCACCAGCAAACGGCTCATGCGCTCATCATGGCAAGATTTACCAATGATATCATGGCAGAACTGCAGCTGGTGACACACAGCCTGGCACAAAAAATGGGTGAAGACACTAAACAGCTAACTATGAGAGCTGGGCTCCACAGGTAAGGTGGTGTATGCTGCAGTAATATTGCCCGGCGATAGCTTTGATGGCTGCCTGCAACGACTGTAAATGCTAAACTGTTGTCTTTGCTGTAAACAGTGGTTCTGTCACCGCAGGCGTGCTGCGTGGGGAAAAGGGTCGCTTTCAGGTAAGCTGCCTGAGGTCTGTCTTGGGAATACAGCAATCCCAATCCATATACTGACACGTGACTGTCTGCTTGGTTCTGCAGTTGTTTGGCGATAGTGTGAATACAGCAGCTCGAATGGAACAGAACGGTGTGGGTGGCAAGATCCATGCATCCCAAGAGTTTGCGGATGCGCTCACAGCAAGTGGCAAAGGACATTGGGTGACACCAAGAGGGGACAGAATCACTGCCAAGGGCAAGGGAGAACTCAATACCTACTTTGTGGTTATAACACAAGAGACTGAGACAATGACAAGCAGTTCTGTTTCCCAGGCCCATACCCATATCCCTGTCCGTGATGCTCCACAGGTGGGCCAGCAGAAAGGGGAATTGTTTGATGTGGAGGTGTAGCCTGATGCCATGCCATGCCGCCTGCATTGGCACACCCTTTGAGCAACTCTCACTCCCAAAGACCTCCAATTGCTTCAACTTTGACCGCCTTTGCACATGACTTCATAGTCTTTATACAGTAACTAGCGCACTACGTTCTTTACATGATGAAGTCTAACTAGCAGTAGCTGCTGCCCAAAGAAGTGGTGGCCTACCGTTGCTTTGTCTCCGGCCGGGACGGGCTCTGTTGTGGAGCGCTCCCCGGAAGAAGCGAATCGATCAACTCAACGGGCTCATCAAAGTTTGAACCTCTCCGTCGCTCGATCGGAGACAAAGCAGAAAGAGAGCCATTGCAACATACCACCAGAAGCAGACTACCAGCTAGCAGGACACAAGCAAGCACTGGCAAAACTATTCCTTGCCTTGGTCGAAATACCGATTGTGTACCCAGATGATCAAGACTTTACTTTGCCATTACCAAAACGATTCGAGAGGGAAGAGTCGCTTGCCCTGTTTGCAAGGTGAATGGAAGGCCATTTCAGCTCAAGGAAGTTGTTCGATACTTTCGCTGTCTGCCTGGGTTCCATTCCATTCTTCCAAATAGGCCGCTTCGATCGACGAGTGTTGCCAATGCGAGATTTGCAGGGCTTTGCCCGGTCGCCGGGGGCTTACCGGTACTGTCAGGCAAAGAGTCGCATTGTAGCATGCATTCTAAGGGAGCCCAAAGGATGCTGATGGGGAGAGGGAAGCTCCATCCAACTGGAACCGTACTGTGGCGTGCATCCCCCATATGCCATGCTGTAACACCCATTTGTTGCTATCTGAATTAGTTGGGGGCGGTCTGTCGAGAGTAGCTAGCTATTTCTACTTCAACCCAAATCTCGCTACGGATAGCTGAATGTCCAGCCATGGTCATGGTGCATGGTTCATGGTGAGGGCCCATGTATGTACCGGTTGCCACGAGAACAACGAATGATGAATCTTTCCACGTATTGCAGCTACCGTAAGCAGTTTCCATAGTTACGTGATCCGCCTCTGCTTTGCGATTCGATTCGATTCTGTCAATTGGTATTAATAGTCGAAGTCGAACCTCTAATGTGATCCAACGCCACGTCACAGAAGGTGCTCTTGTATTTTCTTCCTTTTCTTCCTCCTTCGAAGTTGAAAGATATCACCTTGAGACCATAATCTTGAAGGTACTCCTGAATGAAGGAAAGATCTCGGCAAGTAAACTTTCCTTCCCAATCACAACATTTTTCGAGTGTCTTCCAGTCGTCCGTGTCCCTCGTGAAACGCACTTTAGCCACTCCAGAAGCTTTCCAACGTGAAAACAAACTGAACGCTATTTTGAAGGCACACTTTCGCGTTTCTAGCTCTTTGATCTGAGCTTTCATCTTTCTCTCCACGTCCGCGATGGAAGCATCGAAATCGTCCAATTTAAAGTGATAGTTCCCGGTCAGGCTTTCAAGCAGCCTGCGTGCTTCGACAATCGTACCGGACACAATGGATTCGCTTTCGACATTTTCAAATCCATAATACTCCAGCTCGTTGAGAAGTGCTTGCTTTGATTCAGTCATTGGAATGTTGACTTGGAGAGTACGCATGTAGTTCAGAACGTAACGAAAGAGGCCCCCATCTCGGTCAATGAAAACGGGTTCTCCCGCTCTCCCTCCAGCTTCTTCCCATTCCTTTGAAGCCACGCGCGCTAGCATTGTTTGGGGGTAGAGATCCAATGTGGTACGAGCGACTGTATAGAGAGATCCGCCGACATTGAAGGTAATCGTTGCTAGTTGGTTCGGGCTGTAATCTTTCGACGCGATGGATTTCATCGCCTTGTCTTTCAATGAGGTGCCAACTTTCGTCATGTCTTGCTCTTCTTTGGCGCTTGCTTCTTGCTTCTTCGTTTTGATCTGATTCGAAGAGGTATGGCATACAACCTATAGCTAGCATGAACGAAGTATCAAAAATCGCACATCCTTGAAGGTTTCCACGATGCAGATCGAAAGATCCCACGATTGAACAACACGCTCACTGAGCTTACGCTGGGTGGTCCAAGGAGATGTCCACAAAGCCAAGAAAATGAACTGAGTTTTGTCTTTGTTGTTAAAGCCTCTTCTATTCACGATGACATTGACACGCTCCTGAAGCACATTCGCTTTTCTTTGGGAGCTTTGAATGCTCGACAAAGTGCGAACATTCAGCAAGCACTCCATCAGTTCAGGGCGCAGTGGTCCGAAGAGATGAAGGGGCTTGATGAGATTCAAAAGCAGGAACGTCAAGAGACACGGTAGCTTCTGGAACAAAGCACTCTTGTCCAGATGAGTGGTGGTAGTAAGAGGGATATTCTAGATGCCCAGCTGGCTATGCAAGCAGAACAAGAAAAGCTGCAACGTGCACTCAAGGGATCCAGGGATTCGGTGCGGCAGAGCAAGTTGCGAGTTGGCTTTTAAATAAAAACAGCTTCACTGGTGGGATTCCTTCTGAGCTAGGCTTGTTGACAAGTTTGACCAAATTGTCTTTGAATGACAACCAACTGTCTGGTACCATTCCCTCTGAATTGATGTTGTTGGCAAGTCTAACCTCATTGATGTTGCGCTACAACAAGTTATCTGGAATGATTCCATCTGACCTTACCATGCTTTCTATGCTAACGGGTTGCACGGCAACCAATTATCTGGAGGTAATCCAACGAGGCGTGCTTCCTCCCTGGGTTGGCCTTTATACATGTTGACTGTCAATCTTGAGATCCCTTTCCTGTGGAATTCCCATGCAGTTCCTCAATATGTACCTGTCGGTAGATCTGTTTCAACCAATCTCTCGTTGGCTGGTGCCAACTCTGTAGCAGGTAACAGTATAATATTTGAGGCAATAGCCACTTGACTGTTCTCCCACCTAGTCTCCTTCTCTTCTCGCTGAAATTTGAAGCACATCATTGTGTGATGGCAGGGGAATAACCATAGATGGCATCACCGGCAGAGTCACCTACATGTCTTCTTGGATCATTTCAAGAGCCCTACAAATGGTGTCATCAGAAAAGAGTACTTGAAACCATGGGTAGAGGGCAAGAAATGTTGAAAAAGAATAGAGCTCAACTATGCAGACTGGAAGGGGTACGAACGGTGGCTCGGTTGTTGGTTGGTTCTTGGACTGGGGCAGTGTCAAGGAGTGAGCTTTCCTGGGTTCTCTGACGGCTATGCTGGCTTGTGTGTCGGAAAACTACATGGCCACCGTTTTCACGAGGACGGCACAGCAACCTGCTCCAGGCTGATGCAACTACTACATGTATTATAGTACAATGTACATTGTCATGCAGCGCGTTACTTGTATCCAGCAACCAGGTCCAGCAATAATCACTCCAACCAAAATATTGAGAAAGAACTGGCTGGATCACGCTTCCAGCCATCAGAAAGTGTGGTCCGCAGAAGCAAGCAAGACAAAGTGAGCAACGCAAAGAAACTATCCTCTAAAAAACGCAAGGATGGAAGGCAATAGTTGCTTTGGGAGAACTGCAGCAAAGAAAGCAGTTCAAACTAGTACCGTAGTAAGGGCGTAAGAAGACCTACTAGCTAGCTAGCTAGCATGAATGAATCACAGATACTAGTAGATGATGCACTGCCAACTATGCTTGGCAACGTGCGAGGAAATAGGTGAACCTGGCAGCCTTGTTGCTCTCCGTGTGCCCCACAACCTGGTGTCCAAATCATGCTGGTCAGCATGAACATAGAATATATATATACGTATTATGCTGCTGATGTACAAGGTGGTAGGACGCTTTGGGAGACAAGCAATTGCACGAACTCAGGCAGGCACCGTAGCCAACAGTAACTGTTCTGTACCGCACCAGCCAAGCTACCCCATGGTAGTCCCTCAGCTGATGGGACCTGTTGCTTCGTCTTGCTAGCTACTAACTAGAGCCTACTGTTAAGCGCTTCTTTCGTTTTCGGATAGTCGAATGCAATGATGCACCGCATCTATAAAATTCTTGTCTAGCTAGTCTACAATTCGCGTTATAGTTTTCACCGCGAGGCTTTCTTTGTCGTTTTCATCGCGTGACTTGCTTTCTCTTTTTGTTCTTAGTTAGTTGCCCACGGCACCAAATGCCCCGGAAGATCCGTAGGTGGTGGACGTGTGATCGTCTTGATGTTGTTGTTCCGCCGTCTTGGCCGCACAGGCGGGAAATCGTTGTTCGGCCATCGTCGTGGTCCTTGTCCATGCTGGTTGCTCGTTCGAGAGTGGCTGCCACTGAACTTGCAGCGGAATGTGAAACAACTCGGCGACATCCAACAATGCTTGTGTCTGTTCTTCATTGACATTTCGTTTGTCGGCGTCATGATGATACTGCACATGACAATGGACAAATCGCCACGATCGTGTGTCGCTATTAAAGAGTTCAATGAGTGCTTGAAAGACTTTTTGAACGGGCGATTGCATCAACTCCAGTTGCGACGGTCGGCGGGGTCCTCTTCCGCATACAGCAGAGGGCGAAGTGTGAACGACGGCTTCTTCGCGCAACGAAATCCACAACGAGGTAATGTCCGGATCTTGTGGCAATTGTTGCAACAACGTCAGCCAACTGGAAATATTCTGCGACAATTGTTGTGGATTGTCTGTAGTATGAGTGTTGTTGTTGTTGTTGTTGTTGTGATGATAGTCCAGCAGAAGCGTTCCGTGGATGACAACGTCAATGTCTCGTTCCTTGGCATCCTTGCGAATGCGATGCAAAAAGTTGGTGCGTTTGTAACACCATCGTCGATAGTCCGTGAAATGAATGTGCGGTTCCAACAAGTGAATCGACTGGACGCCTTTATAGGAAGACGACCGCAGCAAATCTTGAATCTTGCAAAACAGAGGGACATTGTCCGGGCGCTGGATCATTTCCTGCAATACAATGCTGTGGACTTTTTTGTTCACTTGTGTGAGTTGGGACAAAATATCTTCCATGGAATAGTTGGGCGTACAGACAATCGTTACTTGTTCTTCTACATGCGATCTTTGGGAACGACTCCGCACAATGCCGCGGCGACCGCTCTTGAGCGGATTCAACAACAATTTCGATATGCGTCGTTGCAGCTTGTTGCCGCCCGTCATGATGCTATTACTGTTGGGGGGCTGAATGGTGAAATAGTATATGTGTCGTTCGATTGTATTGTGGGATCTCCTCCTGTGCTCTACTCGGCTCTCACTCTTTTGTTGTGCTACAACAAGCAACAAGAAGCAACCAGCACAATCACTCAGTCGTCAACTCCGAAGTGTGTCCAAAAAGCTCTCCGAGTCGAGTCTGTCGTGCGGTGCCTTGTGGTTGCTGGGTCGATCTCCTTCCGCAACTTCGAATCCACCCACAGATCGCACGAAGCAATCCGCTCGTTCGTTCGTCTCCAATCTTGTATGCAATCTCCGTCATTCCAGCATTCGTAGCATCCTTCCCCGAAACGTTACGTTCCACCTTCCCCCTAAGTCTTCTATCCTAGAAGCAGATGACAAAGAAGCGCCTCACCTGTTTCAAAGAGCGATTCATTTAGCCTTCATTCATACCCCGATTTAACCCATGCTTACCCCACATTCGACAACATCAACACATGAATTAGTATTGTTTCCACCATCTTTCTAAATAAATGATATGGACTTATGGACTCAGGGGCCACTGAGGAGCTGCTGAGGATACTTCGGAGTACACTTTCCTCTATACTTGTAGTGTTCATTCGCGCACAGAAAACACAAAGAATTGCATCGCAGTGACTGAGCAGCAAACCTGGCGACGATGGCGTCTCACATTTTGGTTCATCACCATTTTAGACGATGTTGCGTGATGTTGTATGTTGTCATCAGGCTGGGTGAAGTAAAAGTGATCTTGTCCACTTACTTTGCTGGAACACATGCTTGAAGCCGAAATCCAACAGTGTATGATATCCCTGCCCCATCAAGGCGACCGAGCTAGCTACATACTCCAACATCGCTACTGAGAAGTCTACCTAACTGACTATATAATGCTTCGGGACCTCACCTTGTTCAAGTGTTCAAGTTGTGACAAAGCAATGAACGTCACCAATTTGGAAACTGCAGCCAGTCCGCTAACGAATTTTTGGCTGCGTGGGAGGAGACCACATGTACTGGTACTGCCTCGTAGCCAGGCTTTGGTTGCTGTCTGCTTTGGGAGTTGCCAGCATGGTGGGGTAGACCAGGTACCTGGGTGTGAAAACTCAAAAGTTGATATAGCTAGAAGCAAAGCTGCTGCCATTCAAACGGTGGCTTGGCTTCTCCTGCCTGGGCGGCACGCCAGCTACCGGCCCGAGCTTTCAAGGCCACGAGGACATCCATTCCCTCAAGTGCGTTCGGGAAGAAGCAAAGAAGAAGACTAGAAACTAGAAACGTAAACCGATGCTTCTACTAGCTAGCTAGCTAGCTAGAGTCGTTTTTTCTAGTAACCAACCAAGAAGTAAAGCAACTGTCCTCCATGATACAGAGCAGTCAGAAAACACAATGGCATCATAGAACCGCGCGCTGATACCCCGTGCGAGCGAGCGTATTCAGAGTTTCGTCGAGGACAGAGTCAAAGCGATGATATCCAGCCGTCGTCAATCCTCCCAAAACCCAGATACAGCCGTATGCTATGCATGAACGTGGCCAAAGACCTACTACTTGCGAGCAGGCAGAGAGAAGCTCCTCCGAACGTAGCGCTCTGCACAGGGCACCTGGAAATTGAGTGTCGCCGCAGGGACTGATTCGATTCTCGCGGTTTTTCGTTCATGGGCTTTGATTCTAACTACACCATGTAGCTCCAAATGCTGACCTAGAGACATTTGACAAGTCACCCACAAGAAGGTCAACTCAAAGCTGGATGTGTTCAACATTGAGCTTGGAGATGGAAGAAAGAGCACTACAGTCGTACTGTCCATGCAAGGATCTTGTCAGTGTGAAGACTATTGGGGCCAGCTTTGAGGAGTATGCTGGTAGTGAGGGTCTTTTGGGAGAGTTTGGTTCCGGCAGGTGGCTTGCCCCGCAATGGGACAATCATGTCCCATGCTGATGCTTTTCAATATGAACGCCAATTCCTTAGAACCCAAGCTCTTTCAGACCAACCGGTAACGTGCCCACAGCATCCAGTCAAAGTGCACCACACCTCAACCAATGGGTGGTCTCTGTTTCGGCATTCCCATATATCCAACCTTACCAATACCGGTGGCAAGTTAACCAACCAACCAACACCGGACCGCAGCCAAATGAGGACGGCCTAGGTGCCACTCAGCGAACTGACATTGCCCGCCATCAAGAGCGAGTAGAGCAGGAATCCGGTCAAATCACCAGCCGTGATAGCACCTGCTTGGACCAAGTGACCACCGTATCCCAGCACAGTCAGAATGGCGCCATTGGCACCACCTACGTGAACTGCTCCGTCGAACAATGCCTGCGTACGTCCCGTAGCAATGGCATGGTCGTGCGCATTGGAGGCTGCCTCGCTGTATCGTTTGGATTCCAAGGATTGCGCTCCAAACTGCACCACGGTTCGAATGCCATTGAGACCTTCTTCAGCTAGTGACGACGCGTGGCTGTGCAGGTCTTGTACGTGACGTTGCTTTTCTCTCAATGTCTGACCTACTTGGCGAGCTGCCAAGAAGAGTGGTGGCAAGGTGCCCAATGACACCAATGCCAATGTTGTCGAAGTTTGAAACAGCATGACGGCAGAGCCAGTGGACATGACAATGGCTCGCAATGCCGCTACCGCTTGTGTTGTAACGGCTGATTGGATCATGGATGTATCATTGGAGCCAATCCGCTCATTGGTCAAAGAGTTGAACGACCGGTGTGTGTCTAGCTAGCTAGCTTGGGCTGGCCTGGGCATGCCAAGTGGTTGAGTGTCGAGAGTGAGAGGAGAGGTACCCCGTACCGCACCTTCACTTCAGGATTTAGTGTTGCGCCGACGCACTTTTTACGCTTAGTTTAGAAAGCCTTTTCGAAGCACTAATTAATGTGCTGCTGTTGAAGGTTCTCTTTACTAGTACCGGTACTAGTAGTCAGTTTCTCGTGCGATTTTTTCAATGCGTGGATCCAAGATGTAAGGAGCCAAGGAGCCTTTCGTTTCGACATAAAAGACAGGATCAAATCTATCTAGCAATCTATCTTTTACCTTTTGCCTCCAGTCTTCAAAGTTCCAAAGAGGACAAAGCGACATAGTCTCATCTGAGAGTCATATGAAGGAACCATGATGCCTCAAAGAGGAACATTGGCGAGGGCATTGGTGTTGCTGGCAGCCTTACCCGTACAAGCCCAACACCTGCTGGATCCGTTGGATCACATGAATGTGGATGCCTCCCGTTCTGGAATTGTGGATGTGGTGACGACGAGCGCAACATTCCTAGACGGGGCTCTGGTGGAACAGCAAGAGCAGCTTGGATTCTGTCATATCGGACTCGTGATTCCATTTACCATCCTGACAGACACGGGTAGGGCGCGTTGCAATTGTCCCTTTGAGGACGTCTTCACGGGAGGCATGGCTGCCGTTCATCTGGCGATGGATATGCTCAACAAGGGAGATGGGTCGGTCGTCCCAGAGATTGAGGGCTTGAATGAACGCTGTCCCATTCGATTCACAGCCGAATCCTTTGATTCTACGGCAAGCGCTGCTCTGACTGTCCAAACCGTCACGGATGTCTTGAGACGTACCACTCCAGAAGAGCGAGAGATTTGCGCCTTTTTGGGAGCCACTCGATCACCCGTCACTTTGCCCATGGCAATATTGACGAGTCTGGCAAATCGTCCACAGCTGACACCATGGTCCGTTTCTTCCCAACTCGACGATCGAGTTACCTTCCCATTGCTGGGCCGTCTCATTACTTCCGAGTTGGGCCTAGTGGTTCCCTTTTTATTGTACCTGAGACAGAAAAATGTCAATCATCTAGGAGTTATAATATTCAACAATAGCTACGGAAAGGCCTACGTGGAATCTCTCTTGCAGCAGGCAGAGACCCATCATCCCGACTTGTCGGTGGTTGTGGCCGAAATTCCGTTTGCCGAGGGAACCGATGAGGACTACGAGAGCGCCGTTGATACCCTTGTCCGCTCTCAATTTCGATGGTTCATTGGCCTCTTTGGGTCGGCCCGGTACTACAACCCCATCATGTCTATTGCAGTACGCAAGGGCATTGCTGGGACGGGGAAACATGTGTGGCTTTTCAACAGTGGAGCTATAAACATTTTGGCGTCTAGCATGACGGTGGAAAAGGGAACGGACCTTCACAGAGCTACCCGCGGCATTGGTAGCTTTTCCTCCCAAAACGGAAGGCCTGGCATTCCCGAATTTGACAAGTTTACAGAACGATGGAAGCAACTTGCCAATGATGAAGATTTGGAGTATCTCACATCCCAACTGCCAAAGTACGTGGAGCCGGACTTTGAAGGGCCCGTGGTCACATTCAAGTCATTTGACAGCGACCCGAGTATCTTTGCCTCCACTCTGTTTGATGAAACTATCATGCTAGGATTGGCAGCCTGCGCTGCAGCGGCCGACAGTGAGGACTCAATTTCCGTTGACGGCAAAGGCATGTTCCAACACATTGTATCCACCACTTTTCATGGTGCCACAGGTATGTTGAACTAGCACTACAGTGATATTATTGAAGTTGTCCTGTCTGAGTTTATCCGTTTCATCACCAGGAAATGTCACATTGGATCCATCGACGGGATCTCGCCTTCCCACGACAGCCATCTTTCGAATCGGTAATGCCATTGAGGTGCCGGTCAATGATACCCATGTCACATACAAAGTGGTGGATAGCGATCTATTCTTGAATGGAGAGTGGGTCGAAGAAGCGCCCTACATATACAACGATGGGACCGCCAACATTCCTAGTGACATACCACCGCCAGAGACCAACTACCATTACATTGGGACGCCGATGAGAGCCGCCGGTGTGGCCATGGCAGTCTTTGTTGCGTTGCTGTCTCTTGGATTTGCCGGATGGACCATTTACAACAGAAACGTCCACGTCGTCAAGGCATCGCAGGTAAGTGTCCAGTGTCGGGGCCGCCGTATCAAGATGAAAGCATGCAGTTCACGTTTCTCGTTCATGCATCTTCCAGCCAATCTTCCTCCTTCTATTGTGCTTGGGAACTCTCACTATGGGTATGGCGATTGTACCTCTCAGTATCGACGACGAAATTGCAACGGAAGCAGGTTGCGACATTGCCTGCATGGCATTCCCTTGGCTAGCCTCCATTGGGTTTGTCCTCATCTTTGCCGCTCTCTTCTCCAAGACATATCGCGTGTACAGGATCATGAATCAGCCCACGTACCACAGGGTCATCTTATCGGCCTTTGATGTCATGTCTCCGTTGCTGTTTCTCATAACGTTGAACGTAATGGTGCTTGCGTTATGGACGGCAGTGTCACCTTTGGAATGGGATCGTCAGGTCACGGTCAGGGGGATGTTTGGTAGGCCCACCGAGTCTCGGGGATCTTGTGTTTCCGACAAGAATACGCCGTTCGTGGTCACGTTGGTGGTTATGGACCTTGGTGCTCTTGTCCTGGCGTCGTATCAGTCATATGTCGCCCGTGGCATCGCAACGGAATTTGCAGAAAGCGACTACATCGGCAAGGCTGTCGCATGCATGTTGCTGGTGTCGTTTGTTGGAGTGCCGACCATCTTTATCGTGTCGGACAATCCACAGGCCGAGTTCTTCCTGATCACTTGCATCATCTTTGTCATCTGTACCGCTGTCTTGCTCTTCCTTTTTGTTCCCAAGATTATGGCGGCCAGAAAGGGGTTTGACCAAACAGCTGCAATTCGAAGATCGTCCATTAACCTGGGATCCCTTCGAGACCACACTTCGACTGGTTGGAGGGGAGGGCAAAGCCAACCAGGTTCCCAAATGTGGTCCAGGAACAGAAACGTGCGGTTCGGGTTAGTAGAGGACGTGAAGGTACTGGTACACGAAAGCAACAACCTTCTGGAGGATTCAGGGGAAGGAATTGCCATTTTCAATACGTTGGATGAATATCGTCGGCTCAGTGAGGAACATCAAAAGCTGCTAGAGAATACGCAGGAACGCAAGCTGAAAACGAAAAGCTTCTGAGCGAAATCAACGAACTCAAGGCAAAACTGGGCGAGTCAGGAAACCGTGGCACTGAGTTTACAATCCCGGAAGACGACTCAGCTTTGGAAAACATGGTCGGCGTGTCGGAACGTCGCGACACTGATGCAGAACTGCCCAAAGCCGAGCATGGAGAAGGAGACGAAGATAACGTCGAGGCTGAAGGTTGATGACGCATTGCCTGCGTTTCCTGCCCTCCTACTTCAGGTTGCACGCCACAATCACCATTCCTTTTGGAAGGACAACAAAAGGATCCTTACTACAGAGCTGGAACGAACCTAGGATACGTCGTCTGCTTTTACAAAGCAGTGCCAACACAAATTGCACGAGCAAGACGAATGCTTCCGGAAGCAAACTACGGGTTTGGTGATTATGAGTGACGAGTCGTTGCCAATGGCTTGGATCGTCGCCGCAAACCAGGCCAAAAACTGCAAACTCTCTTGTACCGGTACCAGGTACAGTCGGAGCAACGTGACGTCGGGGTGTTTCGAAAAGAAATCTTAGAATTGTTTTTGGCGGGTGAGGCGACGAGCACCCAGATGACACAACATTGCTACTTCCTCACAATGGTCAATGACTCCGTCTCAAAAACGTAGCATCAGGAGGTCAAAGCCAGCCTTACGAGGAACATGCACCAAGAGCCAGGAGGCCCCGTGGCCTTTTCGCTATCCCGGGCTCTTGTCGCCACCATTGGTACCAGTAGCAAGGAAGACGGCTATTCATGGAGACGGCTCCAGGAAATCAATCTTTCAGAAAGCGTATTGGGAGGTGAACCATTCGTGCGAGTCACGAAATTGCCACCACATGCAGGTCGCTTAGGTCCTACTATAGCCAGCAGGAGGCCGCAAAAGAATGCAGGTCGCTTAGATCCTACTATAGCCAGCAGGAGGCCACAAAAGATCGAAGGGTCCACCTCATATTACAATTATAGTTCTTCAGGCTTTCTACCGGTAACTCTGAAGTATCAGTTGCAGTAGAAGCTCTTGCTTCTCTACAAGAAAACGTAGAATTTCATTCATGAGGTGCTCCGTAGCAGAAGGCAACATCCATTACAGTAGCCGTCAGAGCTACCGTAGCCAATGTAGACAAATCAAGCTGCTTGCAATGAAACTCATGAACGTGCAAACGCATCCAGCTCAGACATGCTGGTTTGCAACAGGCAGACAAACTTTATACAATGTATGATGGACCCTCCGTCTTGGGGCTTGAGGCACGCTGCAATAGAAGAGTCTCCTCGAGCAAGCACACAATAGAAGTTCCTTGAAAGAAACTAGAAACAAAGTTAGAAGCAACCATGATCAAAGAAGGCAGGAAGCATGACAGCAGGCTTTCGGGAGGTGGGTGTATATACTCTAGCTAGAGGCTCAGGACGCAAGAAGGGGCATGTACCGGTACCACTAATGGGCTTGATGTCACGAAGCATTGACATTCTGCTCTTGCAGCATTTCCACGGCGTGGCGGCCAGCAGAAGCTGGGCCTCAATTGCTGAAACGAAATCGACGCGAACTGCCACACTTGCCAGCGAAAACGAAACTAACCAAGCGATGAGCAACACCATGAGCAACACAAACACAAAAGAGGAAGCCATGATGACTACCAATAGTAACGATACTAGAAGCAACGATAAAAGCATTGACGATTCTAGTTCTGAGGAAGAGGAACTGGAGTTCAGCAAACCAACACCAGAAGAAGTCCAAGAAGACATACGACGGAAACAATTGCAAGATCGGATCCCTCTGAAGCATTTTGATTTTTCCAAACAAGAATTAGAAGACATTGACCAAGGGATTCAAAAGCGATTCCGTAAAAGAAAACAAATTTGCAAAATTAGTCGAGAAGAGACAGAAAGAAGCGGAGGCCGCTAGCAATGGAGAAGACCTCGTGGATACCGATGAGGAATGATTTGTTTTTTGGGGGGGATGAGGGTGTTTGGCAATCCATCCGACCTCAATGATGGTACCAGGTACCGCAACCTACCATCGTGCGCGTGCTGGAGGATAATTGGTTCTTGGCGCTGAACTCTCGTTTCTCTTTAGCTACAGTGGGAAACCAAGCCATATTTGATAATTGAGCATCAATCTTGGCAGACGCAGATGTATTGGTGGGTGGCGGCATTGGTATGGCACTTGACTTTACCTTAACGAGTGCCTTTATATTTGAACTGACGGGTTGTATTGGATAGCTAGCTAACTGGCGCATGATGTTTACATTGGTTTCTTTGCCACACAACAAGATGGATCAACAAAAGAATAGTGCAGTCTTCAGCCACGAGCTGTACGTAGCTCGGTAGTCCCCGATGAATTCAAGTATGCGGCTCCAAGTTTATTTGGCATAACCAATTCTAGTTAACCATGGTTCATGTTACGTTTGATATCCTTTTGATATCTTTGAAGTAGACACCTATATGCACTGGGATTTGCTTTGCTCTTGGAG